TGGTCTTGCAGGAGTTTGTGACCATTAGACCTTGTCATCCCCTGGGGTGCTCTGGTGAAGAGGCGTTCCCCCAGTTCCTGATGCACACCTGTTATGTACTTATAGGCTGCCACCAAGTCACCCCTGAGCCTGCACTTCTCCAGGCTGAAGAGCCCCATAGCTCACGACCTCTCTTCATAAGGCCTGTTCTCCTGCCTTCTGATCATATGCATGACTCTCCTCTGGGCTCTTTCAAGCTTCTCCATGTCCTTCCTAAATTGTGGATCCCAGAATTGGATACAGTACTCCAGCTGTGGCCTCACCAAGGCCAAGTACAGCAGGAGGATAACATCCTGTGTCTTGCTTGAGATGCATTGGTAGATGCAAGCCAGAGTTTTGTTTGCTTTGGCAGCTGTGGTCAATCATGACCCCCACATCTCTTTCAGTTATGGTGCTAACAAGCATAGTATTGCCAAGTCTATAAATGTAATGTGGGTTTCTTTTCCTGAAGTGGAGCACTTTGCATTACTCCATATTGAATGCCATTGGGTTTTCATCCACCCACCTTGCAAGCTTATCGAGGTTGGCCTGGATCATCAACCTGTCCTCAAGTGTGGACACTCTTCCACAAAGTTTGGTGTTATCAGTGACCTTAGCCAGTCTGTTTCTGATGCCAGTGTCCAGATCATTTCTGAAGACATTAAAGAATACAGGTTCAAAAATGGAGCCTTGGGGGATACCACTAGTCACTGAGTGCCATGTCAGTTTGGTTCTATCAACTATCACTCTCTGGGTCCAACCTTGGGGCCAGTTCCTCAGCTATCGGACTGTAAAGTAGTTGAGACCATAGTTGCCCAATTTTTCCAGGAGGGTATCACGGGACACCAGGTCAGAGGCTTTTTTAAAGTCCAAATACATGATATCAACCTCTTCACTTTTTTCCAGGTGATATGTCACCTAGTCATAGAAGAAAATGAGGTTAGTCAGGAAAGATCTACCCACCCCAGACTCGTGCTGGCTATCTCTCCAAATGTTGCCTTCTTTTAGCTTGTCAAGAATGGTTTTGTTTTGTTTTTTTCCAAAAATCTTCCCAGTCATTGAGGTGAAACTGATTTGGCTTGTAGTTTCTCTGGGTCTTCTTTCCTCCCTTTCTTGAAGATGAGCACGACATTGACCCTCTTCCAATCTTCAGATACTTTGCCCAAGTGCCACAAGATCTCTAATATCCTTGCCAGTGGCTGTGTTATGATGTCTGCCAGTTTCTTTAGCAGTCTTGGGTGCAATCTATCTGGACCAGGTGATTTGTGGGGGTCCAGCCTCTCAAGAAGCTTCCTCACAAGATCCATGCCAGTGGTGGGCATATATTCACCCTCACCCTGGTCATCCTACATCATGTTAGGCAGGGTGGTCCCTTTGGGCTGGTGAAAAACTGACACAAAGTAATTATTAAGCAGATTGGCTTTTTCCTGGGTGTCGGTAGTCAGCTGTCCCAGCTGGTTTAGAGGGATCCAATGTTGTCCTTGTTTTTCTTTTGACTCTCCATATATCTGAAGAAGGACTTTTTATTGTCCTTGATTCGTGTAGCCAGTTGCAGTTCAGTTGAATCCTTGGCTTTCCTAGTTCACTCCCTGCAAGTGTGGGCCAGTGCAGAATACTTTTCCTTAGTGGTGTTTCCTGTCTTAGATCCTTTATAAGCCTCTCTTTTTAGATGTAGGATGTCCATGAGTTCCCTGTTGAGCCAAGGGGTTTGTTGAGCTCTTTCCTATGGGTTGGGATGGACTCCCCTTCACAATGGCACCAGTGCCACAGTGCCACAGTCTTCTGTTTACATCCTCAATTTGTCTCTCCCTTTTCAGCCCATGACCTGTAACTGGAAGGATTGAGGAAAAAAACACCTGTGCCCCGAAACCCCTGAGCCCCTGTAGCCATTCATGACCCAGCTGGGATTCCTCCAAGCTCTGTCATTTGTGTCCACATGGATAAGGAGCATAGGGTAGTGGTCAGAGGGCTGGATAAGTTTTGGGATCCTCTCAGCCACATCCTGGATACAGGGGTCTTCGGAGGCAGTAAACCTCCTGGGCTGAGGGATCAGGGTGGCAGATCACTCCTTCTGTCCCCCTCAGGTGGGAGTCTCCCAAAATGACCATTCTGTGTTTTGTCTTAGGGATGGTAGCTGGTTGCATTTCTTCCTTGCTTGCAGTAGCTGGTAGTTCTGCAGGCTCTACTGGTGCTACAAGAGGTTCATACCTGTTGCAGAGGTCCCGGGGGGTGGGGGGGTAGTGACCCTGGTACAGTGAGCCTTGGGGCCAGATACAACCCTTGTCCAGCCTCCTGGCTGGACAATGTGGGAGTGCCTCTTGGCCTCCCTGGTCCTGGCAGGCAACTTGGGTCTTCCCTCTTCTTTCCTGGGGCAAAGGGCCTGGCAGTAGGAGTCCATCTCCTGTTCAGCATCCCTGATGGCACCCTCTGAACTGCAATCTGGAGCTGCACTATCTGGGATTCCAGAGACTCCAATATGGAGCACACCTCACAAGGGAAGGCTACAATGCTCCTGATCCCATGTCCCTGGAGTCATGCCAGGCAGCCCCCAAAGCTGACAGCCAGGGGCTCCGTCTGAATGGAAGTCGAAACCATGGGTTCCACATGGGTGGAGGCTTCAGAAGTATCAGAGGGGAGGGAACGAGCCACAAGGGGGAACCTCAGGTTGCAACGCATCCCACCCACCATTGCACAGGTAGTAGTTTGGCTACTACTGTGCCAACTGTTCCCCTGAGGCTCAGGCCTCGTGCCTCACCTGCACACCCTCCTGAGGGAACTCCCGTGCTAACTTGCGCTGAGCCAAGAGCATGCTTGTTTGCACATTCTGTTCACAAGGCTCTGGTTGCATAGTTCCCTGGGAGGCTGGGCAAAGTAGGACCCGGGGGGGGTGGCGGGGGGGACCCTCCTCAGCTTCTCTCAGATGCCCTGCCACTGTGCTAGTTCCCTCCCACCACAGGTCCCGCTTACCTCCCAGCTATGCTGGGGGTTGTCAGGGTTTTGCTGGGGTCCTGTTAGGGATCCTGGGGGGTTCTGGGGGTGTAACAAGCTTTCACCAGTGTGTCTCGCTCCAGAGCCAGGGCCAAACTGAGCTGACTGGACAGAAGTTTTGGGAAAAGACTGAGGTCAAGGCTAAACAGAGACTGGAGCTGTGGAAATCATGCTGCCTGTCAGTGGGGAGTCGCATGGCACTCATAAAGGCAATGTTATTACTGATGCTTCTGCACACCGCACTAGTCTTCCCCTCCTCAGAGTAAGTAATTCACAGAATCCAAAGAGCTACACACATCTTCTTCTGGAATTTCAAATGGGAGAAGGTACAAAGGACCACACTGTACAAAACAAAACTGTTTGGAGGCAGAGAAATGCCAGATATCCTGCTGGTTCTCTGGGCCAAGTACATGAGCAAGATCTGCAAACTGGCAAAGGGGACAGAATCCAAAACAACCCGATTTATGAAGTATTTTGTAGGGCAACTACTATGACAGTGGCGGGTATACATGATGAACAATGCCAATGGACCGTGGAGTCACCATGTTTCTATGAGATCCTGAAACCCTTCAAGAACAAATACAAACTGCACAACAAGGCCCCAGTGGCCCTGCCAAACCACCAAAAAATGCAGGAAGTAGTAAGGGAAAGAGATGTCATGTCACCCATGGACCTACTACCTGGTGATAGCTTCTAGGCTGTGTGGGAGCGGATCTTCCACAAGGACTTGCAGAAGCACAGAGACTTGACCTAGTAGGCAGCCTACCAGGCACTCCCATATGGGCATGGAAAAACAGTGAGGGGCAGAGAGGCCCATCAAACTGCCCTGGAAAACCTGATGGTGGAAGATGAAATAATCGACCATATCTTCTGATACTGCCCACATGCCAAGGAGGTGTGGAGGAGAGTACCTGTACTCCTCTTGATGGTGACAGGGTTCTGTATGGGCACTTGGCCAAGCAACAAGGAACCCCAACAGCCCACTTCAACCAGTTCATCTCCTGCTTCAAGAATTCCCTGTGGAAGATCAAGACCCTACTCATGAACAGATGCACAAACCTCTCAGTTGAGGGTTGCATCAAAATGGGACTGAATAAGACATACTGATAGTACAGGAAGGCAGTAGAAGATGAGAGGGAAGAGATGGCAGACATAATATGAAACATAGGGTCTTCATAGACTAGACTGTCATAGATTGTTCAGAGATGGGTCCTCCCAAAGAGGGCAGCAATGATGATGGCGACGGAGATGACAACAAATAAAATGACCAGTGAAAGGACTGAGGAAACAGGCAGGGGAGTTGGGGGGGGGGGGCAGAAGGAACACTGAGGTGGTCCTTTGTGTAACTGTGATGGTTAAATGTGCCAGTGATGGGCAATCTTGTGTGTGGACTTGCAGGAATGCAGATGTGCAGGTTTGCAATGCAATTTTTTAACAGAAATGAGAATGGTATACGTGTAAAGGTGTGTGTTTGGACTGTAAAGTGGACCACAGCGGTCACAAGAAAGAATGGTCAAAGTATGGGGGGAGATAAAGGGAAGGGGTGTGGGTGGATGCTTGCATGTATGTATATAATATTATTTATATGTAGTGAAATAAATATTTTTACCAAAAAAAGAAAAGACACACACATCTCTCTCTGCCTCCAACTGGGAGATAAGCACACCCAGAGCTCAAGTAAGCATCCTTTCATGGTGCTTCCTTGTGTTCACTTGTAAGCCTGCTCTACTACACTAAAATTCATAAGCCCAGATTTCACTGAACTGAAATGGTAATTATTTAGGTCTTGCCATACCCTGTGTTCTATACAAATTAAAGATGTTATCATTTTTATAAATGAAAATTATTTACATCCAAAATAAAGATTCTTGTAATAGGAAGATTAAGTGTTAGAGGTATGTATCAGAACAGAGTAATTCCTTTAGCATTTAACTTTCTTGTCTCAATCATTGTGCATCCCTCATTTTAATTCTCTTCCATCCATTGTGTCACAGTTTTGAATACTGGCTTTTTGAGTGTTTTGCAATGAGCAGAAGCATGCAAGTCCAAAACATAAAGGGCATGTGTCCATCCAGTGTCTGAGTTCTCAGTACAGAAAAGTGGAAAGGCCAACAACAAGGTAATTATTTCCCCCCTGATTCTGTGGGCTGTGATGAGATGATTAAATAAATAAACCTGGATCTAAATAAATCCCAGACAGCATTTAAGAGCTATGTAGGGATTTCAAATTAAACAGAAGAGGTCATGAATGTTAGTGTGTTGAAAGCTGATGAGTGCTCCAGTAGCTGCAGAATGGGAACTTCCTTCACATACAACATTGCAGAAGTTGTTTCAGGATCCCGGAGTTGTTTCAGGATCACTAATCACGCTCTGAGCTGCAAAGTGCTCCTTGTTAGAAGAATTCATCTTTTATGAAATAGACTTAATTGTAGCCATCTTCAAACAAATTGAAAAATAACCAGAAGGTGAGTAAGTGAAAGATTCATTCTGTAATCTCAATGAGACAGAGCCCAGAGCAAATGAAGGCCTTTAACAAGGGGTAATGACTGTACCTGGGAAAAGACCTGGTTCTGTTTTAGAATTATTAAATTTGTTGAGGAAGGGAAGAAATGTATTGACACACATTTTGATGAGGACGTAAAACTAGTACTGAAAACTTGCTAAAATAAAACTGAAAAACCTCAACCAGCCCAAATATAATTTATCACTTGGCTGAATGGGATTTCTTTATCCTACCTTGCCACATTTTTCAGGATTGGAAGATAGACATGACTTTCCAGTAGATTCCCTCCCCACACTCTGTTCCCCAGCTCTTGAACTGTGGAGTCCCATATTTTTGGCAGGAGAAGGATCAGATAATGGACCCTGATTGCAGCTGAATCAATATTATAGAGCATGTGAATTTTCAGTATTCTGGTTGAAAGGCACCAGGCAGTAGGTTCTGCACCCAAAGCTGCTGATCAGATGGCACTTGGTGAGAGAGACAATCATGCTTCTCTTTCAGGATCCAGCTATCATGGATCACTGAGGAGAAGATATTTTGGAAAGAGAGACACTTGCAATCCTTTAAACTTTACAGCAGTTTTCCATCCTAAATCCATAGGATATTTTTTTTCCCTGGGTGCCCCAGATGGATGGATGGTGACATTCCAGGTCACATAAGAGATGGTGAGAACTGGCCATTAGCTCTCCCTGTATTCCATGATGAGAGACCTCCATAAATTCAGCCCAAAGTGACTTTCATTTTTATACAGTAAGCTACCATTATCATCCACAGGGTCAGAGAAGCAATGCAGTCCTACTGCACAATAAGTGCATATCATACTCATGAAAGAAAAGGGATGTCCTCTACCATTCCAGCCTCCCTGTTTTAAAGCCTAAGGCACTGCTGCATGGATAATTGGACTGACATACCATGTGTAGGATATTGTTTTAATGCAGAACAGGATCATGCTGGGATGGAATAGGACCACTGCCGTCTTCTGCCAGTGCTTCCTCATTTATGTAGGTCCAGTGCTGAAAATCCTAACTGTTCATAATAAGGAAATAGAGGCACGTTGGCCCTGAACCTTAAGTCAGGGTACTGGGCTTTGACAGAGTCGAGCATATTTGACTTAAAATCCAGTACTAAGTTAAGATTAATTCCTATCATTCCTAAATCTTTCTCATCCCTAGGTCTTTGTCAATGGTTCACCATATCCCAGATTATCTTGACTATTTAAATACTGGAGTTTGAAATTATTTTCTTTAAACAAACTTATTATTTAATATTTTTTCCAATTTGTATCTCTTAATTTCACTTGGCCCCATTTACATTATTTATTTGTCCTCACATGTGTTCACCTCAACTTCTAATTTTTACCTGCATATTTCATTAAAATGTCTTTAATACACATCCAGTTTATTAATATGTAAAACACATAGCTTACTAAATATTTTCCCCACTCCCAGTTTAATACATCGACCCCTGTTTTACAATCAGCTCTCAATCCACATGAAAGCATTTCTATGCAAGTCAACTAAAAATAACTTTGAACAAGCTTTTGAGAGGCCTTGTATCAAATACTTTACTTGTCTCAAAATATATTATCTTTACTTGATTCATTTTGTCATTTAGTCAAAAAAGGCAAATAGGAGGATCTATCATTAGGAAACACTCAACATACTTTATTACTTTTTGGTAGGGGATGGGGAGAGAATGATCTGGATTCTTTTTCATAACATTCCTATAGTGATTTATAGAGCACTACTAGCACCATTTCCATTTTTATTTTGCTTCTTCCATTCCCAATCTGCTCCTGTTACTTGTAGTGTATAATGCTAGATTAACCCTTGCTGTCAAGGGATGATAGAAGAGCAGAAAACTTCCCCAAAACTAATGCCTCTGCTGAACTACAGCTAAGTTTACAGCATATTCTGCTGTGAATGGTATACCAAAGTCGATGCTGTGTTGTTTGGGGAGCTTCTCTCACATTGTCTTTTAGAGAAGAACCAGATCTTCTGGCACAATATGTTGTTTCCTGCGGTAGAAGCCTACATGTGACTGTTTAACATGAGGAAGCTGGCATGCAGAAACAGCAACCACACAATCTTTACAAGGTGTAGATTTGGACCCAGTGGCAAGGGAGAACCGAAGATGACAGGAGACCTACAGCTTGCTAAAGCCTTCTTCTGTCTACAGCCATTGAGATCCTGATATCTCCCTCCTGATCTGCTGTTGAGGTTAGACTGTGGTTTGTCTGGAACCTCCCCTCAGTCCTGTTCACCGTGGGTGACCGTGCCAGGAGTGTGAGGCTCCAGGCAACATATAGCTCTGAGGATCATTGAGACACACAAGTCTCTCCACCATTACAAGTTTCGGTCCACAGAGAGGCCTGGCAAAGTGATATACCTGACTATAGCCATGCTGTTTTGATTTTTTACTTTTCTTTGTCTTGTTTATGCTACTTTTCTTTACCATGTTAAATTGTTCTCCTCCCTAGCAATTTTCTCTTAGCTTTTTGTTTTTCCTTCTAATTACTAGAAGCAATTAGAGTAATTTGACTTTCTTCTATGGGTTTTGCAACTTGATAATAGTACCCAGTCACATCCAGACTCAACTAATGTTATTTCTGATATGCCTGCTCTTGGTAAGGTATGTGAGAGAAGTGACACATTAGTTTGTGCCACTAACAGTAGTGCCAGCATTAACCAGGTTGGGCAATTTCATTTAGGAAATAATGCAACCGTTGTTAGAGAAAGGTAGTCTTTCATACATTTACACATTTTAGACTTGTGTTAAGACTGTATCAAAAATATGAAAGTATATCTAGCTACAGGACTAACTTGTAAGTGCCCTTTAAGAAGCACAAACTGGGAGAAGAATCTATTCATTTTAGACAGATTGTTGAAATAGCTGAATTCTAAGATGTACTAAATTATTTATCTCCAAAGTGTATACTAATACACTTGAACCATGTGTCCTAATGTTTCAAAACAAATGCTAACTAAATTATTAAACCTGTATAGGCTGCTGATTTCCATTCAGAATAAAAAAAAAAAGGAAGTATGACATTTAAAGCTTCTCAGTAAGTCCTACAAAAAGAGGTAAGAAGAATTCAGACTTGTAAAAGAAGCTTGTTCAGTGCTTACTGGGGTGACCTATTGGTAGTGGAAGCCATTAAAAATACAAATCTTATACATGATGTTTCAAGAGTACATGCATGGTTTAATATTTTACAAGAGGAAGCTGACAGGAAGCTGAGAAGCGATGTGTCTTGTTGGCTTAGATCAAGTAGTAAATAATATAAATTCTATCCAAAAACCTTAATGGGCTAGGTCCTGTGGACCATACTCCCTGCTTCCTGCAGTCCTGAAATTGTTTAACTGACCCCAGAATCCGTGTGAAACTGGCTCCGTTGCAAAATTCCTTTTCTGCTAGCAGGGCAGTGGGGGAAAGGATGTGTAGTAAGAATTCTCCTTCTCCATTTTGCCAGCACTTAGTTGTGATTTGGACTCTTTCCAGGCTTAGGACAATCTACATGCCCAGTTATGCAGTTATGTAGAGAGAGCTTAAATTGCTCAAAAAAGTGGCATGCCTGATCTAAGTTAGCTCACCTGAGTAGATGTACCAATGTGGATCAAAACTGGGTTAACCCAATCAAAGAAAGTCTTAGTCTGACCTCGCAAATTCCTGTATGCACTTGCAGTGGAGCCCTGAGGCTGGAAAAGCCGAGCTGCTTCCACTCCCTCCCCGCCAACCCTCCAAGCCTGACTGGGTAATTTTTTGCTCCCTACCCAGGCAACCTGTGCCCCCGCCAGACCCACCAAACCCCCTGTGGACCCAGTAAGCCCTCACCCATCCCATCATACCTGCCCACCCCTGCCCTGACCACAAATAACTTACACTGGTTTCTCTTTCTATGTGACACTCCCAAGAGAAGCAGACAGCTGCATGCAGTTTCCAGTTTCCTGCATGCAGGATTTTCACAGCTTAAAGTAGACCATGAATGTAGACCGTGTGCAGTGAATGCCTTTATGCACCCTCTATGGCTAATGCAACTTACTGCATGATGAAGCAGTTCTTGAGCTCCTCTATTCTGGTTCAGAGAGTCTGACCCTGTGTAAAAAATGACTAGTATGAAGACAAGCACAGAGGAAGATGAGTACAGAAGTCTTAACTGTCATTTCATATACGCCTTGGCTGAAGCTGTGGATGTTGTCAGTAGCTTAACTAAGATGAGGGGAGGGTGCCACCAGGGCAGTAGCCCTAGACACTGACTTTGTTGGAAGAGAAGAGAGTGCAAAAATAAGAGCTGGTGCCAGCCAGCTGTACTTTGAGCACTGGGAGCCCCTGCTGCCCCTGCAGGCATCATTGCCCAGGGTGCAGAGCTGCCCTGCTATACCTCTGGATGCCATTCAAGATTTCCATATCTAGGCCTGAACTGAGCACAGATCTCTTGGGAAGGAGATTTCCTTTATTATATATAAAAACTGTGACTGTGTAAAGGCTGGCACTGCATTTTTGATTTTTTACAATTTACAGAAAAATGAAATTTGATTTCTAACTTCACAAATGCTATAATTATTCTTTTTAACACAGTTGTGCCATATTGCTCTTTACTATTGCTATCAATTAGTAGGAATTACCATAAAATGTAATATTTATGATGTCTGGATTTAGGTGAGCCAAATTCTGTAATTAGTACTTGTGCAATCGTAGGATTCTTATAATTTCACCCAGCGAGGGGTTTTCTTTTTTTAATGTTTATCTTATTTTAGATCTCCACTTCCAGCTTTGGATTAGATTTTGTGAAGTAAGTAACAAATGCTTGTTCTGTTCAAGCACTGATGCCTTGAATGGTATCTCTGAATGAATTATAATCCATTGCAGACCATGATATAGATATGTAATATGCAGTATTCATGAAACACTAAGTAGGAAGCTGTAAACTGGGTCACAACCTGAAGTTTCCAAGACTGCTGCCAGAAAAGCACTCTATAGCTCATGTTGTAGTAATCACATTCACAGGAGTTGTGCATAGTGAAGTTTCCATCCAAAACTCAGAGACCATATTCATTCAATTGGATAAAATTGGTGTGGGAGAAGAACCATTCACTGCTGCTTCTATCCAAACATCTATAAACAATCAGATCTCTGTTATGAACCTTAGCAATAGGGGCAGTCCATTTTTTTGTTTAGTACTATTTTCTTGAGAAACTAGGCTACTGACTGATCAGCATTTTCTGAAGAAAGTGTCTGGGTTTTTTGGGGAGGGGAGTGGAAAAAACATTTATGGTTTTCAATTTTTTTCTGTGAAAAAAGTTAACATTTTCCCCAAAAATACCATTTCCAAATAAGTCTATTTAGCCATACAGAGACAATAGCTTCATAATAAAGTTACCTCAGAAAATATATTCTCCAGTTATTGCACCATGATTGCCCTTTTAGCCCGATTGAGCAACAAATTTTTTGTGCACCTCCAAGTCCCAGTTTGGTTATCTATCGCTGTATGGAAATGTAGGCACTAGGCATTATTGTTACTGCAAAATGCGTGAATACATGCTGAGATACTTATCCTGAATAGATGTTTGCACAAGCTCAATTTTATGCCTCATGACTTTGTCTATTGATGTATAAGGCTAATCACCTCTCATAAAGTTAACATCACATGCACGTTTTTGAAGCCTAAATGTCTATCATCCAATTTTCCATTCCAAACACAAATGGTGAAAATATTGAGAAATACCTGGCTATTGTCTATTTGGAATTATCATATCTTGTACAATATAAAGGTGTTTGTGATTTCAGATTGATCTGGTCAAAAGTCAGAATTTCTGTTACGTTGAAAATGCGTAAATTCCAACCAGAAATTTGCATTTTGACACAAAAAATTTCTGAAATTCCTAGCAGAAGGAAAAAAATGTGCTAAAAAGTGGTTGAAACGATCAAAATGTTTGATTTTTAAATTTTGAAGTGAAATTGGTCCCGAGAACCTAAGTTTTAAGCCTCCCAGGTTAGCCAGGAATCCCTAGCTCTGAGGCTGTACTTTGGTAGTTGGGTGACTAGAAGTTGTAGGAGTTGACCCCAGAACCTTTGTGGTTTGGAAGCCCCAGCAAGAAGCCTGGAAGTCTTGGGAAAACTAGCACAATGTAAGGGTCTTATGATTTCCATGCTCCTTGCTGCCAAGCTGTTCTCCTTTTCTAAAACTGGCAGCAGCTACAGAGGTGGAAACCAGGAAACCCTGACAACTCCTGAGAGTTCAGCCTGGAAACTCTGAGGCCTTGGGGCAGTTGACAGGCAGAAGAACAGAGCCTTCATTGTGGAAGTTCTCAGGTCCCTGACCCTGCACTAGTCTGCATGTCAGGGATACCCACAATTTCAAACGAGGGGTCCTGGATGCCCTGATTCTGAAACAATCCAACTTATGGTATTAGGCCCTAGATCCTGAACCCTAGGGGCATTTATACACATACATTATACACACATAGTCTGTGGAGCAGTCTCAATTAATTGCGACCATGTGAGCTGATGCACCTAGCGCTGCACTGCCTACATTTGTATAAATGGCGAAACACACGTCAGCACTGGGAAAATGGTGGCAGTGCCCTTTTGAACTATAAAACACCTTTGATGGTGAAGTCTAGCTCCTTGTTTGTATTTTCAGGACCATCAAAAAGATGTATCATCAAGAAATCATTATTGAATTTTGTTTTTAATCAGCTTTCTGAAATGAGAATGGAAGTAAAATTAGATAAAATTGGAATCTATTTAATTGGGAAAAATTAAATTAAAAGTAGTTTCAGACTAAATCTGAAGCAGCATCCAGCCAACTGTGGTTTTACAATCACATGTCCCTATTTTTCTTTTTTTTTCCCCCTTTTTTGGAAATGCTTTCTTCTCCTCTGTTGCTATGCCAAATAGCTATATTAACAACAGAAGAAATTAACTAACAAAGTTATTGTAATTGGAAATAGTGCAATTAACATTACATAATGTGCTTCCAAATGTAAAAAGTAACATTTTTTAAAGGTTGAGAACTACTTTTGTTTCTGTCTTGCAACCCAGGTAATAATGGGTGTTCTTTGTAACAATTAGAGATAAAGACTATACACAGATAGCAGTGTCCATTTATCTGATCTGTATTTTACCTGAATAAGAATGATAGGATTAAGATATAAGAATTCTACATAGATTCTTCTGATACTATATATACTGAATAACTGAACTTAGTTCCATCTGCTTGGTAACTTTGCTGATAACGTAACACAAATCTTCATTGGCCTGGCAGGGAAGTCAAATTTCTCATTATTATAAATTGTTATAACTAGATTGAATGTGAAGTCATGGTTTGATCTGCTTTGGTGAGTCCAGACAAAAGAGAAATTCTGGATGTAGAAAACCATGGGAACAAATCTAGAACTGAGGGAGAGAGAGGAAAAAGTGAAAAGTCATGTATGATAAGCTATCTAGGAACTGTTGTCTTATATCAGGCATTCAAGTAATGATTCCTCTATGGTCTGTGTTGTCTTCTTTGGACCATGCAACTTCATTTTCTCTTACCTTTCTGCATGTTTCAGGGTTATCTTCCTACAGATTGGTGTTTCAGGTTGCTCATCTATTGCCTAAACTTTCTGTACTCTCCATTTTTTCTTGTAACCACTCTTTTAACATGTCTATCATAGCTTATTCTGCTACACGATACTGCCCAAGCCCGATCTTCAGGTGTGAAGATATCTAGGGGTGTGCAGGGCCCAGGGCATATCAGGCCATATGGGGCCCAGAGATGGCAAGCAGCCAGAGTGCAGAGCCAATGGCATGCAGTGCCCATGGCAGGGCCTGTATGGCACTGTCTGCAGGGCCCCCTCAAGGCGCAGGGCCTGGGGCAGTCACCCCAATTCACCCCACCCCCCCTCCAGGGATGGCCCTGTCTGTCTTTATGAACAGACCTTAAACACTTCTCTGTGTGTGTGTGGTGTTTTGACTCCACACCTGCTTGCATGGATAGGAGAATGAGAGAATGGATCAAAACCCAAGTTGGGTTACCACTTTACACTAAGGATACAGGCAAAATCATTGACGTGCTAGATAGTTCTTCAGCACCATTCCCCTAATTCATCTGACGGACAGACAAGTTTTCCAAGTAGTCTAGGAAAGGATTTTAGAGACATTCGTCCCTGAGATCCACTACACTATAGATCTACCATTAGTATCAATATAACACTGCAGCCAGCACTTTCATACTCATTTCAGTTCTCCACAACCCTGTACTTACACTAAATACTTATGTGAAGTTTTAAGATCTAGGAATCCTAGCTGGTTCAGTTAGGACTCGTATCCTATCAACCTCACAGGAGCAATTTTTCATTACAATGTACTATACTGAAGTCTTCCTTTTTCTTGCTTTTGTGTATCTATTTATAAGACCCCTGGAAAATACTGAATCAATAATAAAGTTAGGATATGAATCAATGGGTCTCATTGATTCCAGTGAGCTTTGGGTCAGGATTCTAGGATTTCTATGAAGCGTGTCACTTTTTTAGAAAAGGACCATTTCAGTCACCACTTTCACTTCCCCTTTCCCACACACCCACTGCCAAGCTTCCCTTTCCCTTTGTTAACCTGTTTGACAGCCAAGGTGATATTCTTTTGTTTCCATTTTTCATTGCACAGTGCCATAATTATCCCGTCAGATTCTTGATCTGTGACCAGTAGCTTATGAGATTCCAACAAGCAGCCATTGTTGTAAGTCATCTTCTTTATTACACTTATGAAGAATCCAACAATGTCAGTTAAAACTTTTCTTAAAGTACACAATATGTGAGTGTAATGTGGGATTATATTGCAGCTCTAACAAGTAAACATTTGAATTTAGAGCAGCTAAAGCAAAGAAAAGAGCTTTATAATTGTTCACTGCAGACTAGAAGTCTGCAGGAATCCAGAAGAGAATGATAGATTTGGAGGATATTTAGAGCATATCCTTCTTACACCTGCTAAGAGTTCTAATTGTTTCATTATTGGGATAAACAATATGCCATCTCTATGTGAACACAGGCAGAGCTTATGAAATATTTCTCATTAAAACCATGCTGTACAAATAGCTATAAAATAACCATAGAGCGGCATGTTTGGGAATGAGGCTGGTTTGGATCACCACAGGAGATGCATTGATATTAGTCATTCTGCCAATGTTCACAACATTGCTCAATTTATTGATTCTATGCTGAAGGGAAAAAAGCCAATGTATCTGTTGTTTGTTTGTTTGTTGTTTTTTGAAACAAAAACAAAAGAACTGCATAAATAAAAAATATTTTTTTCTGTTACTAGGTCTGTAACATGACTTCCTTTGCTAGCACACTTAATGACATAAAACTCCAGGATGAAACAGTAATAAGCCAAACTAATTACACAACCTAAGATCTTAGGTTCCTGTAAATCAATATTCAGAACATTTTAGAATACATTTGAACAATGTAGATGTAAAGGTCAAGTTACACCTTTCATATTTCCTAGGCTCAAAATATTTAAAATATTTTCTTTCCTGTTTAGAAGGGGGAGAAATGAATGCATTTAAATACATTTGTGATATTTTTGTCAATTATTTATCTATACCAAATAAGCATGAGGCAATTTGGTGCTTTGAATACTTTCTTGCATTTTAATTATATGAGTTTCTTTCCATGCAGCATAAGAAAAACAAAGAAGTGACCTCTCAGCAGCTATTTCAAGTAGTGCTGGGTAATACATAATTTATCCATAAGAATATGGACACTCAGCATTGGAGTTTAATAAATAATACATCTGGATACTTTTATAGTTCATTGGCATATCTCTCCTAAATACGGGGCTTGTGTTTTCTACTGAATTCTGTATTTGGATAAGAATTATTCTTCATTCCTTCGATAAAAAAATGAAAATATTTTGTGAGGAGTGGAAAGGGGACTTTTCGTCTGCATGTAACTTTTACTCATAGTTTTCTCAGACCCAGTGTGATTCTTTCTCCCAGCTCTGAGGAGTAAAACATGATACCCATGTTATTCCATGCAGCATTGTTCTGATTTAACAGTGTAGGCAAGCTTAGTGATCTTGTTTGTCAGTTTTCACACCAAATAAAGTAAATGTTGCTTAGATGCTCCAGAATGATTATGTTCACCTTCAGGTCATTTCACAATAACCTGTTGCAGATCTAATTCACAAAATGCAATGTCATCTCCCATCCTTATTAAGGTAATTGACCCTCCTACTGAATTAATAATCCACAATCTGCTTGCTTAAATGTGCTTGCTACTAAATTACTGTCCTAATGTCTAAATGGTAATTTATTTTGATGAGATATTTCAGTTTGTTGCTCCTCTTATTCACTTAAATCATCCTGGATTGATGGGAGATTATTGCTTACATTTATCAAAAGAGAAAAATGTGGAAGTCTCAAAATTGGTCAGGGATTTTTTTTATAATTTCTAACCAATTTTAGTTACTTTCCCTTAGCCATTCAGACATGAAATTGTAGGTGAAAAACTAAGTTATTCACATTCAAACACTCAGTGTATACCTAATTTGACATTACAAGTTTATTGCCTATGAAACAGATTTTTCTTGTTTCCAATATCCCTTTATGTCATGTATTCTAATCAGCTATATAAATTTACTTGAATTTTTAACATAATATAAAATATACATTTTTAAAGAGGGTTTACAATTTCATTATTGTTAGATATTTTTCCACTTTCTAATAGAAATGATGGGCCTATATGCTTCAGACTACTATGGAAAACTTTGAATGCTTAGGCTCCCACATGCTTATGGAAGAAGTATGGTGAATGTTTTCCGGTTCACGTGCTGCCTGCCCTCAGCTGTTCCCATCTCAAATGAGTCTCAATAATACTGACAGAAAAAGGAATAAAGAGGAGATATGTATTTTTTTGTCCCTCATTTCCCTCATTTAAGTGGTCATTTTGCATCGGAGAACTACCTGTCTTGTTTTCCTCCAACTTTTACCACCTGTTATCCACTCCCTGTCCCATAACCCCTTATGTGCTAGGGTTTGGTTGATCTTAGTGTTGAACTGTACCTACATTCAGGGAGGTGAGATGGGGCAAAAAAAATGGCCGCATGAGCTAACTTTATTTACCCATGTGCAGACCTTGCACTTAGATCTACTTAACTAGTGGGGGCTAGACTGAGCAAAAACTTGACCAGCCTGATCTCACTTACTTCACTTGGACTAAGTTAGATCAGGCATGGGTTAGCCTGATCTACTAAATGTCTGTACAAATTCAGAGAGCAGCCCTGTGACTACACTTTTCCTACCTGCCTCCACACACCCTGACCAGGCTATTTTTAGCCCCTTCAGGCAATCCCCACCAACCTTCTCCCATTTCTCTTCCATCCTTGGCAAACCACACCAGACCTGTTAGCCTCCACCCCCAATTTACATAGATCATGTTCCCAGCACAGTTTCTTGCAGTGGCAACAAACAGGGACTGATCTATAATCCTGCAGTTTAAAGAACATGTGCACATGTTTGGAGTATAACCCCAGGGATGGGAAAACCCAGCACTCACCCTAGCCATGGAGATGTGCTTTTCCTGTCCTTCCCATCCCTCCCCACTCCCTGACTGGGCTATCTTTACCCTTTCTACTCCCCCCACGCAAAGACAATTTGCTCTCCCATCCCATACACCCACTAACCCCTGTCCCCTCTGGACTCACCAGCCTCCTAACTCCACCACCCCTTCCTGGACGTTACAACCTTCCTGTGGACCTGGTATCTTTCCATTGATCCTGCCAACCCCCCTGCGGACCCATTAGCCCCCTCAATCTTTCTTGCCCCTTTCCCATACTCTAATTTACTTAGATCATATTCCCAGCCTGGCTCCCATCAATGGCAACTGTGTGTACATGTAGGGAACAGATCTACAATCATGTTGCTTAAAGTAAGCCATGTAATAATAGGTCAGGTCTCACAAAGTTGAGAAAATGGCCTTACATTTTAACGTCTGACTTCGGTGCCTCTGCTAATCTTAGCATGGCAAATAAATATACATTTCCTCAAAGTGTAACCAACAAAGCTAGCACAGCTATAAGCTAATTTGAAAATATGCCCCATTTTGATAGTTATTTAAACTAAGTTTATTTTTTGGTTCCCCCCCAATTCAATAATAAAACCTGAAGCATGTTGAGGCTGTCAACCAAAGCAAATCCTCACAATCCCTCTGCACACAAATCAGCATTAAAGACGGACTTGATACCTTGTGCTAGGATGTAAGTAACTTTTGCAAGCTATGGAGAATTTGATCAAGTTCATACCTGAATGAGAGTTCTTGAAGAAGACCTTTGAAACTAAACATCATCTATGCTTTACCTCGGCACTGCTGTATTTCTTGGATGAAGGAGAGATCTGTGACATTTGGCTAATCAAGGCCTGATCCTACAACCCTTCTTTGTGTGAGTAATCTGAATGAAATCAAACGTGCTATTTGCCTAAGTAAAGGTATTCAGGAATGCGTCCTCAATTTATGAGATATTTAGCAATTCAGAAAGTGTTCATTATTAAGGGGAAGAATCCAAGAGAAATATATTTGGATGTTTTGTAGCATTTACAACTGTAGAATTAAATTATTTTATGTTTTGCATTATATTGCTGTGACAGAACTGTTGCTTAGCTCTTATTCAGATGACAAGTATTTGTGAAAGAAAAACTGCAGTATGTAGGCTAGGTATCCTGGACATCGGGCAGATTGGTCATTGTTTACTACTAATCTCATTTCACTGAAGCACAACAAACGAGTTGTCTCAACTGCTATATTTCAGCTTACATAATATTCTGTAGCTACCTCAGCAATATTGTCAGCATTTTGATTTCTCGTATATGTTATGTGTTTTCTATATCTTGTTAGTCTCCTCAGGCCAGCCTCCTTCCGTACTGTATGTAAAAAAAATATATATATATACATATATATATATATATATATATATA